CAACTTTTTTAGGTAGGTGTTCTAATTTTTTGGGTAGAGGTTGCAACTCTTGTGGGGGGAGGGTTCTAACTTTTTTAGAGGTTCAAGTCTTGGTGGTTCTAAAAGTTGAGGGGAGGATTTCAATTTTTTTGGATAGAGTTCCAACTTATTTGAATAGAGGTTTCAATTCTTGGAGTATGAGTTCCAACTTTTTTGGATAGGTTCTAACTTTTTTGGTTAGGGGTTCAACTTTTTTAGGCAGATGTTCTAATTTTTTGGTAGAGGTTCTAACTCTTGTGGGGGGAAGATTCCAACTTATTTGGGTAGGGGTTACAACATTATCGGTTAGTGTTTTAACTTTTTTGGGTATGGTTCCAACGTTTTGGGTAGATATACCAACTCTTGAAGAGGGTTTCAATTTTTTTTGGGGTGAGTTCTAACTTTTTTTGGGTAAGGTTCCATCATTTTTGGTAGGGGTTCAACTTTTTTGGAATGAGTTTCAACTTTTTTGGTAGGATTTCAACTCTTGGGAAAGAGTTCTAACTTTTTGTGGGTAGGGTTCTTGGGAGGGTTCAAATTTTTTGTGGGTGGAGGGAGAGATAAGATTTTTGTGATTAATATATTGTAATATGTGGGGTGTAAGTGTAATTTAAAATTTAGGATCGGTCCAAGAAATGAGAGACTGATCCTGAGTAAATATCACCTTTTTATCCCTTAACTATAATGCTTTTATCTATTTTTGTCTTAACTATCACACTTTTATCCCTTAAATAATCAAAAACATTTCCAAAAATATTCAATTTTTTATAAATAGTCCCAATTTCTTTTAACAATAAAAATTAAATAATGAATAAAATCAAAAAATTAAAAGAATTGTAAATAATGCTTCCAATTTTTTGGGTGACTCCAATTCGCTACATCAAAAATATCATACTGTCCAAAAATATTCAGTAAACAACAACAAATAAATAATGAATAAAATCAAATAAATAAAAGAATTATAAATAATGCTTTGGTGTGGTTATAACGGGTTATAAATTTTTTTGAATTGGGTCAAATTTTTTGGATGAGTCAGATTAGCTAGATCAAAAAAAAGTTTTAAAATATTCAATATTTTATACATAGTTCTATTTTTTTATTATTATTAACAATAAATAAATAATGAATAAAATTAAACAATTCAAATAATTGTAAATAATGCTTCTAACTATTTGGATCATTTTTGGAGATTAAAACTCTTGAGGGAAGGTTCCAACTTAGGGGTGGGTTCTAACAGTTGGGGGAGGGGTCCAATTTTTTTGAATAGGTTCCAATTATTTTTGGGTAGAAGTTCCAACTGTTTTGATAGGGGTTCCAACTTTTTTGGTTAGATTCTAACTTTTTTTGGCAGAGGTTCCAACTTTTGTAGGTAGAGGTTCCAACTCTTTGGACAGGTGTTTCAACTTTTTGGGTAGAGCTTCCAACTTTTTTGGTATGAGTTCCAACTCTTTTGAGTAGTGGTTCCAACTGTTGGGGGTAGGGTTTCAACTTTTTGGGTTGAGGTTCCAACTCTTGTGGGAGAGTTCCAACTTGTCCATCCAAGGTTCCAACTCTATAGGTGAGTTCTAACAGAGGAGGGTTCCAATATTTTTGGGTAGGGCTTCCAACTTTTTTTGGGTATGGGTTCCAACTTTTTTGATTGAGACTTTCAACTTTTTGGGTAGGGGTTCCAACTTTTTTGGATAGAGGGTCCAACTCTTGGGATATGAATTCCAACTTTTTTGGATAGGGTTCTAACTTTTTCAGTTAGGGGTTCAACTTTTTTAGGCAGATATTCTAACTTTTTGGTAGAGGTTTCAACTCTTGTGGGGGAGGGTTTCAACTTATTTGGGTAGGGGTTTCGACTTTTTTTGGTAGGGGTTTCAATTTTTTCGATTGGTGTTCTAATTTTTTTGAGTAAGGGTTCTAACGTTTTGGGTAGATGTTCCAACTCTTGATAGTTCCAACTTTTTTCAGGTAAGAGTTCCAACTTTGTTTGGGGGTGGATTCTAACTTTTTTGGATAGGGTTCCAATATTTTTGGTAGGGGTTTAAATTTTTTGGAATGAGTTTCAACTTTTTTGTGGTAGGGGTTCCAAGTCTTGGGAGGAAGTTCCTACTTACCGGTTTAGTAGGTAACCGGTGTCCACTTTTTTAAATTGATTAACGACTATAAAAATAGAAAAATTACAAACCGCCTAAAATTTATAAACATATATTACTTAAATCCCTTAATTTTAAAATATTAAACTAAAAATATTTCAATCAAAGATAAAATATCAAATACTTTAATTTTTATAATTAAAATTCATATTGTATTGTATCATTTATTGAAATAAAAATTTAATTTTTTTATTAAAAAATTGTAATCAATATACAATTATATTGTATGTTGAAATTTAATTTGGTCATTTAAACGGCCAAATTAAAATTCCAAAATATTCCAATTATAGTTAAAAGATATTGTGTCAATTACAGTTTGACCTCTTATTTAATTTTTTAGTTTTATTCTAATAGATAGTATAATTATATACTAATTATGATTTTTTTTTAAATTAAATTTTTATTTTTGATTTTATTTCAATAAATGACATAATAGAACATGAATTTTGGATGTAAAATTCATGTTCTATTATGAATGACTTAGACCTCTTATTTAATTTTTTTAGTTTTATTCTATTAGATAATATAATTATATATTAATTACGATTTTTTAAGAAAAATTTAAAATTTAATTTTTACTTTTATTCCAATAAATGATACAATAGAACATAAATTTTTGTTTTAAAATTTAAAAAATTTGTTATTCTATATTTGATTGGAGTATTTTTACTCTAAATATTATATATTAAATTTAAGAAGTATAAGTATTATATATCAATAAATTTTAGAGAGTTTAAATGTAATTTATTAACAGATATATTTACTTATGAATTTTAGGGGTTTGTGTGTAATATTTTAAATATCAAGAGATTTATGTATAATATTTTAAATGTTAGAGAATCTAAATAATTAAATGACAAATCTCAAGAGGTCTTAATGTAATTCTCCCTTACTTTTTATAAGTTTTATTAAAGGACTAGCTTTCCTAAAAATTATAATTTTTTGAAAAAATAAATTTTAATTTATAAAATATATTTTCATGATCAATTATAAAAATTATAATTTAAAAAAAAATTATGATCAATTTTTAAAATATATATAATTTATACCTTTTAAAAAGTATAACTTTATGGTTAAAAATAATAATTCTCTGTACGATACCAACTTTTTTTGGATATTGTAATATTATCCTATGTTTTATAGTAAAGCCACTAATATATCGTATACAAAATGACCAAAACATCATTTCCAAGTCACATAGCCCTCTCTAGGGGTGTTTATTAGCCAGGATACCTACGAGTCTCATTATTCGACTCAAAAAAATAAGCTTGAAATTCGATAGACCCGATAGTTGGCTCACCTGAGACTAATATCTTTAAAAAGAGGTCTTAGATTTTCCTCAAAACCCATTACCCCCGTTTGAAAGCTTGGCCCAATAGCCCGCCCGAACAAACCCGGCCCACCATTTATTTGAAAAAAAGTTATACTTTTAAATTATTAAATTTAAAATTTTGAAATAAGTCTCCCAATGTCAGAATTTGAAGTTTTAAAAATTTAGATACTATAAATAATGTATTATTATTTTTTCTATATATTAAACATACAAGTTTTAAATGATAGAGTAATACAAATGATAAATAAATGAGTAGGTGTCAATTTAGTTAGGATGTATTCATTTTATTGGACGTAGTTTATCTTCTAATTAAAAATAAAATTATTCATTATTTTATTTTTATCCATTTTGACTCAATTTTTGATTCAAAAATATAATTTACACAAATATTAAGGTAAAAAAATATTTATTATTTTTAAATAAAGTTGTATATAAAAAGTCCATGAGTAGGCCCGCTCAATAGGTCCGCGGGTCGGGCTTCAAGTAGGGATAGTCCAACCCGGTCCGCCTAATAACTCACTTGGATAAGGGATTGGACCTACACTACCTAGGCCAAACCCGAAAAGATTTTTGTGGGCTTAGCCCGGCCCTGCACATGGACACCCATAGCCCTCCTCTAATATGACTTAAGCACCAATATATTATAAATTGTGAATATAGTTTGGATGTGATACTTGTGTCTAGATTTTAATTTCAAGAGAGTTGTACATGCCAATTTAGTGTATGTTTCAAGAGTAGAAAGGTGGGTAGGATAGTGTCCGTTCTTTAGTTTCGTAATTATAAATCGTAAATGAGTCTTTCAAATTTGTAGTTATAATACATACAATGTTCATTTACAAGCTAAATTCATTGAATAGATGAGAACTTTTTTATAAAGTTGAAATTAGAATCTTGGGATAATATTGTCTCGTCATCCGAATAACCCGTCCATCACATTTTGTGGATTGACATTCCAAGTTTCCAGCCTCATACTGCTCCTAAGGCTACTATGCATAACTATCCTCGATCAGTCATGTTTAAATAGGTAAGAAATCTGAAAAGGTCCTGAGTTTCTCACTGAGTTTGCAGTGGATTTACTTTGAAAAATTCTCTATGAGCAAGGAATCATTTGCAAATAAGGTAATAACCCTTTGATCAACAGAGCATGAGTTTCAACATGTCCACAGCACAAAGGCTCTGTTGAAATCAGAGTATACACCTTCCAATTAAAAAAAAATGAGGAAAAGACTTTCTTCGTACACACCGGATAGAACTGTGTACAACTAAACCTCTTTAAATCCCATATTAACGGGGTCTAGGGCATTGGACTGTACTTTTAAGGACAAATCTTTGTTTAAAAGGAAGAGGAAGAAACACAAAATACCCGATCTGCAAAAATGACAAGAAACTTATTGTATGGCATTGCATAATAACTCATGCATTACTGGTTCACATAGGTGTTATTGGAATAAAAAACTAAACACGGTTATTTAGCTAGGTTCGTGTCGTAGTCATGGAGTACTACTGTATCAATACTTCGTGGACGTCCACTTGCTCATTTCAAACTTTTTGTGCTTAAGCTCAATGAACTCCTCAGCTTCATCATTAACGTCTTCTTCTTCATAGAATTTGCGGTTATCCTTCTCAGCATATTCATGAAACACCACTTTCACCTTCTTCTGAGCCTCTGGCATGGGTGCCTGAAAGCCCCTGGATGCCATATAAACATTTTCGACGAACTTAGGCTTTGCCTCCATCGTTGAATCATAAACCTGGTGATTATGTTTGCCTTCATTACTGGCATGGTACTCCTTCCTCGTGTACTCCATTTCTATCGCTACCTGTTTGGGTTTTGGTGCCAAAGCAATGCAAATAAGACTGTTTTACATATATGGAGAGTTGAAGGCATTTATAGGCTAATGTTCGTGAAGGTGAACTGTAAGATAGAATCAGATACCCTATTTTTTTTGTCACAATCAAGTCTAATTCAGCATAATCTTTAGAAATTATGGGGCTACATTCGTATCAAAGTATAAAATATCAACAGAAAAGGCAGAATATTAGATATTTTTCTTGGACAGAAAGCTAGAAGCATTTCTTTTTCGATTTGAAAACTGACCACAATCCTTTATAAAAGCTGTGACCATCATTGTTTTGGATTCTTCTAGAACATATTCAAATTTGGTACAAGTCTGACTTAATTTTAGGAGTTCAAGCAAGCTATAAGGCTACTCGGCTGTCCAACACATGGGTTTATTCTTTGGACATGCTTATCTTCAGCCATGCCAAAAGCCTATGGACACACTAATTTTTGTTCTTTTCTTTTAGTTTATGAGATTGTATTTAGAACCCAGTTTCAAGCTCATTGAACCCTATCTGACATAGATTCCACCTCAACTTGCAGGAGCTGATCCCAGATGATTATTGACAGGGAAATCTTTGCCATGTATACACCGATGAATCTAGGGAGGTCTCTCTCTCTCCCCCACCCCCCAAAAACAAAATACAGGGGCACCTAAAACACCCACACTGACCCACACATCACAATAACCACATATCACAATAACCAAGAGTTCGTCCCCTGAACTATTTTTGAAGGTCCTAAAAACCTGTCCAAAGATTCTCCCACCCCACCTGAAAATCTAGTTTTATTCTATTTGAAATTTAATGGCGTTTTTCAACGTGATGCAATTTTATAATAACGAGTAAATAAAAGAAATAATATTGAAATTATTGGGATATGAGCTACTAAACTCGAGAGAATGATACTGAAAATTGTTGGGGAGTTGGAGGATTAACACAGTAGAAATATAGTGGTTCACCAGCTCGGAAGGTTGGGTAATCCCCTCTTCAGTAGAGATTCTTGCTCTTTCTTTCACTCTTTACTATACCAAAAGGTTTATAGAATATAAGATGTGATACTAGGGTTCTGCCCCTCTGTTGGGGGCGTAACATAGTATTTATAGGGATGACCCTTAATCTATGGGATCTGATCCGTGATCCTCGTCATCTATCCGAGGAATTCTCATTGATCTTAGGAGAGTATCTTGGTTGGTTGAGGATTTTGTGTCTTGAGTGTTACTTCAAACCGTCTGTCGAGTTCTTTGTAGTATTCAGTTGCTTTTTCATTGCTTCAGCTTATTATCTCGCTTGAAGGGAGCTCTAGCTCTAGTTTTCTGAGCTCTGTATAGCTCTGACTTTCTGAGCTCTACATACCTGACCTCCGTTCCCGAGCTCCTGTTTGGGAATCATTCTGAGTATCATCAGTTGCCCCCCCAGCTCTTGGCCAAGCTTAAAATGTAGCAAAATGGTTTCCCAATTTGCGACTTCAAAGTTTGCACGAGATTTTTTTTTTTTGCATGTAAGTGCTCTTGGCCTGAACCTGCTTGAATTGATGAGGGTGGAACAAATGACCCAGGCTGAGCCCATGTCTTTTCCTGATCTCATGACGCTAGATAATCTGTTCTTGTTTAGCGTCGTTGCAGCAGAACGAGACTTTCCCTTTTTTCTTGAATCTGATCTCTTTTCTACCAAGTCTGATGAGAGCGAGTATGCTATGACTCATATCAAGAAACGCAAGAGGGATGATTCATCCTTTCTTTCATCCAGATCTTTCCTGGGGGAGTTTTGTTTTCCTTTGTTGGACAAAAATTGATGGATCTACTGTCAGTGACTGAGAAGGAGAAGGATGAGCTGAAGGAAGAGAACTTGCATTTGAAAGAGAGGATAGCCGAACTACAAAGACGACTAGGAATTTGCTTTGATTGGTTTTTTTTTTTGGTAATCTTTGATGTTCTTGAAACCTTGATTTTTCCTTTCCATATGTTTACCGCTTCTTATACACAATTTGTGGTTTTGAGAATCTGGCAGCTGATTTTCTATGTCGTTTCCTAGCTTGTGGACCAAAGACCCCCATTTTTCCTTTTTGTAACAGATAGAAGCTGTGAAGCTGTCCTTCTAGTCTATGTGCTGCAGGTCTTGCTTTTAGTTCTTCTGGACCGGGAAGTGCATTATGAGCTGCTGCGTTTGTTTTAGGGACAGAAGAACTCGTCCTGAGCTATTGAGCTATTTTTATGGACTGATAAGTTCAACGTGAGCTCCAGGGCTCTTTATGAACTAACGAGTTCATCATGCGCTCTAAAGCTCTTATTATGGACTACCGAGTTTGTCGTGAATTCTAGGGCTATTTTTATGAACTAACGAGTTCGTCGTGAACTCTAGGGCTCTTTTTATGACTTAACGAGTTTATCTTGAGCTATAAGGTTCTTATTATGGACTAATGAGTTCGTTGTGAGCTCCAGAACTCTTTTTTATGAACTAACGAGTTCATTGTGAGGTCTAGGACTCTTTTTATGAACTAATAAGTTCATCGTGAGCTCCAAGGCTCTTTTTATGAACTAACGAGTTCGTCGTGAACTGCAGGGCTCTTATTACGGACTAATGAGTTCGTCGTGAGCTCCATGACTCTTTTTTTGTGAACTAATGAGTTCCTCGTGAGCTTCAATGCTCTTTTTATGAACTAATGAGTTCATCGTGAGCTTCAGGGCTCTTTTTATGAACTAAGGAGTTCATCATGAGCTCCAATGCTCTTTTTATGAACTAACGAGTTCGGTGTGAACTATAGGGCTCTTATTACGAACTAATGAGTTCGTCGTGAGTTTCCGGGCTCTTTTTATGAACTAATGAGTTCATCGTGAGCTCTAAGACTCTTATTACGGACTAATGATTTCGTCGTGAGCTCTCAGGCTCTTCGTAAGAGTGAATGAACCACAAACTTGCTGCTTTATTAATAATCATATTACAGGAGAAACTTATTGAAAAAATTTTCTAAGATGTTCTGCATTCCAAGAGTGGGGTAAAATTTTTGCTGGGTCTGCTTTCATTCGAGATGGCCACCTTAGGAATTTTTCGTTTTGTACCTCATATAAGATTTGCGATATTGTTGCGATGAGTGGAGGGATCTGCCGAGGTGCGTACCTCGGCTGCAACTCTGGATGAGGTGGTCCCTAGCGATCTCTGACGTCTCCCCTTCTTTTGGGGGATCGATCTCTGTCTCTCCTTGGGGACCTATCTCGTCCTCTTTCTCTTTTGGGACTTCGATCTCTATTTTTTTCTTCTTTCCCTTTGTCTTTTTACATGGATGAGCTCCCCACTTTTGAGAAGAGAGCTTCTTTGCTATTTATGTACTTTTCTGCCTTGGCCAGTACTTCGGCCATGCTGGCCTAGGGATTTTTTTGAAATAAAGAACATTAGACTTTTAGATTGTACGCCTAAATCAGCTATGAATGTAGTAATGACAAATTTCTTGTCTGGGACATCCACTTTTAGTGATTCAGAGTTGAACCTCTGAACATAGGATCTGAGGTTCTCTTCGGGTCCCTGCTTCACATTCAACAGATGGTAACTTGGTTTTCTGTACGTTTGAACTCCTATGAAGTGAGATACAAATGATATGTATTGCTCCTTAAATGAGAAAATTGAGGTAGGGGGAGCCTATTGAACCACACTAGGGCTGAGCCTTTCAGCGTGATGGCAAAGGCTCTGTAGCGCACTGGATCTTGGTATCCATGCAACTCCATCTGGTTCTTGTATGTGTTGAGGTGATCTACGGGATCCTTTGTTCCATCAAAAGCTTCTATCTGCGGTACTTTGAATTTTAGAGGGAGGGAAAAATGCAGCACGCTAGTGGTGAACGGAGATTCAGTCTGTTGTACCAAAGGCATCCATTGTAACTGGAGCCTTGCCTCTCACGGCTTCCGTCATGTGGCTGAGTTCTTGTTGGATACCTTGGAAGCGTTGCTCCTAATACCATTCTCTCATTTCCTGTTGATAAGGGAAAAAATCGTTCCTCTCGCCCCGTCATTCTGACTTTGTACTTTTTCGTTGTGTCCATTCTTGGGGGGTATGCGAGATTCTGGCCCCATGGTTTGACTATTTTTTCCTTCTTCGTTGACTTCCCTGAGGGGGTTGAAGTGTGGTTGCTCCTTAGGTGGTGGGTTGTTCTGGCCTTCTTGAGTCTGTCTCGCCTCCTGTGGGCGTTGTAAAAGTTTTAAGAGTTCTTTGTTTTGTTTCAGCAAGCGTTGATTGACGAGGTGAAGGTCCTCCATCTCATTATTCATGGGGAGACCCCCCACGGGTGGATTGGTCTCTTGGACGTTCTCAGGTTGTCTGGTATTAATAGCTTCTTGTTGATCTTGCATCCGTGGTGGATTTGTCTGACTTCGGCTTATGTTTCGCGTTGATACCATTAGTCACTGAAAAATCAGTTTATTTATAACAGGAACAATTGTTTCCCACAGACAGCGCCAAACTGATGGCATATTTCAACGTGATGCAATTTTATGATGACGAGTAAATGAAAGAAACAATATTGAAATTATTGAAATCTGAGCTACTAGACTTGAGGAAATGATACTGAGAATTGTTGGGGAGTTGGAAATTAACACAGTAGAAATATAGTTGTTCACCAGCTCGGAAGCTCGACTAATCCACTCTTTAATAAAGATTCTTGCTCCTTCCTTCACTCTTTACTATACCAAAAAGTTTACAGAATATAAGATGTGATATTAGGATTCTGCCTAGGGGTGACAATTTTTGATACGACACGATAACTCGATACAAAACACGATACGAATAAATGGGTTTGATTTGACTAATTTTTTGACACGACCCGCGTATGACACGACCCGCCAACACGAAGTGTTAATGAGTTGTGTTCGGGTTCAACCTGTTTAACACGAATTGACCCGTTAACACGAAGTTTTTAATTTGAAGGAAATTGACTTGACCTTTTCGTTGCATGTATGAGTTTTCATGTTTTGATAACTTGTTTTTTCCATTATTTCTGATGTTTAATTTGGTTGTATGATGTACAATTAACATATTTAATTAGTATTATATAAATAAAATATTAATTATTTGTAACTGTTTATCAAGTATTGACATAATTATTATATAAAAAAGATACTATTACTCATTATTGTTGTTATTATTATTATTAAATTAATTTTTAGTTTGTAGAAAAAGTATGAAGAGAGATTCAATTAAGAGAAAATAAAATCTTAGCGTTAAATTTTTTATTCAAAGTAAATGTAGGTCAACACGAATATGAACACGAACACGACGCGAAAATAAACAGGTCAACTCGACACGACACAAATAGTTAAATGGGTTGGGTATGAGTTGACTAATGTTCGACACGACACGAACCCGACACAACACGACTCGATTGTCACCCTTAGTTCTGCCCCTCTGTTGGGGGCGTTACATAGTATTTATAGGGGTGACCCTTAATTTATGGGATCTGATCCGTGATCCTCGCCATCTATCCGAGGAATTCTCCTTGATCTTAGGAGAGTATCTTGATTGGTTGAGAATTTTGTGCCTTGAGTGTTACTTCAAACCGTCTGTTGAGTTCTTTGTAGTATCCAGTTGTTTCCTCATTGCTTCAGCTTATTATCTCGTCTGAGGGAAACTCTAACTCTAGTTTTCTGAGCTCTGCATAGCTCTGACTTTCTGAGCACAGCATACCTGACCTCTATATTTGACCTCTGTTCCTGAGCTCCTGNTAAAATCGAAAGATAAATTCTTACTTTCTTAAAAGTTTGTTTGTGACATTGTCATTATCCTTTCATTTCCACATTATTATATCATGTAATTACTTAAAGATAATTTATCATTACAAATAATAAATTTACATAGTAAAACAAAATTAAGTTGTGAGTCAACATATTACTTTTGATATAAGCCTTATTTATAATCTAGTTTTAAAAAAAATTCACACTTTTTTTTAATTTCCTTTGATCATCAAATTCGTCCAACCAAATATCTTTGGCATAAAATTTCACATTTATAATCTAGTTTTAGATACCTCATTTGGCTATTAAATATCAATTCATTGACCTTTTCAAATACAAGTAAATTACTTATGCATAAAATTTTTTAGAAACTAAGGAGAAATATAGGATTTTTCTAAAATTTATGGGGTGTTATAAAAATTTTTGAGAATGTGAGGAGAGTCATAGTTAGTGTGTCAAACGTGTCAAGTTTGATCATTTCGTGTTGAGTTAGTTTTGGATTTATGTCAAAAACTCTCAAACACGAACCTGATATTTTCAATAATCTTGTCGAGATGTATAAATACTAACCTGACTTGGCTATTAAACGGGTTACCTGAACACGACCTATTTAACACGTTTAATAAACATGTCATTTTTAGATTAACACACATAACACGACCTATTTAACCTGCTTAACAGACATAAAACGACATATTTAATACACATAACCTATTTCACACCTGTTCATTATCATGAAATATATCATTCAATCATTTATCTAAAGTTTCAAATAATCTTTTTACTAATACAGATCACATCTCATCAATAAAATTAACTAAACTGCATTCAAAATTCAACCCAAAAATTAAAGTAAAAATTATACTAGTATATTGATATGTTAAGAACTATACTGCCAATTGTCATAATAATGTTGTATATACTTGGATAAACGGATTAAACAGGTCTACAATGTGTTAAGTCGGATTTGTGTCTAAATCATGTCAGCCCATTTAAAATATATGGGTTAATTTGGTTAAAATCGGATGACCTAATTTTGACATGAACATTTTTTTTGTGTTTAAACATGTTGACCTGTTTTTATCCATTAATCCATTTAAATACATATTCGACCCATTAATTTTGTGTTCAGTTCGTATGTTCACGTGTCGGGTCAAAAAACAACACCCCTAGCCACAGGCCCCTTCTTAGTTCCGCCCATGTTGATGCAGATTCAGATTAAGTGATTTTTAGCCGTCCAGAAACTCAATGAACTCAACTACAGCAAACAAACATACAGTTATTGCAGACTCTCACACCTGCTTGGACTAAACTTAAGAGACCTGGCTTAAGAGTTTCAAATGGTAAGGAAAAATCCAAATAAGATAAGATCCTCAAAGAATATTCTCTATTCCTGCCGGGAAAGTTGGCTCAATCCTATTGTGTGAGCTGTATATATCATGATAGTCAATGATTGTATTGCACCAAGACATGCCAACCTCAAATCATAAGAACCTGACCTACTAAAATAGTTTAATAAACGGTATCAGATGCTCTGTCATTACACTTAATTTCAGGTTTTGAACAATACCAAGCTCAAATATGTGGGATCTTTCTGTCCATGTCTGTGATTAAGGAAGAATACAAAGAAACACAGAAACAAATTTCACTGGATCATCACCTCAAAAAAGGGGCTTGAGATCAAAGCAATGTTATTGGCATACTGTTTTGAATGAAACTAAAAAATTAACAGATTAAGAAATGATGGACTCAAAAGCACAAATCACGAAGCCAAACACCAACATAGGTCCACAAAAATATATTAATTGATTAGTGTCGAATCAAAATTTCCTAACATGAAGGGAAGCCAACTGTCCTGTATCTTTTTGGGGGCATATTTGGGGGGTCAACACCACTGGCAAATAATAAACAGGCACCCCCACAGCAACCAAGCTGTTCCCATCACAGAAAGCTCCCCACTAAGCAGATGAATAAGCTCCATTCTAAATGAAAACAAACTCTAAGTTATATACATAACCCTGAAAATCCAAGAATTCATCCAACCTTCCAATATTTCTGAAAGAATGACATAAATATTGCTGGACATGTAAGCACATTGTAACAGTTACAAACTGCAGTCATCGATCATTCAATAAAGCTCTTCATGAGGGGTCACACAAGCTGCACCTCCAACCCTTTATAAGAACAGACATGGAAGGCAGTCAAAGTAAATTCAGCCACTTTCTCTTAAGCAATTCCCAGGCAAAAGAAACTTATACTTGTCAGCATTCTCCAATAGATATGACGGAAGATGAACAGCTGAGTAGGAATGGGGAATGGGTCCCATTTTCCCAATGATTTCCTTGAAGGTATACTCTTCAGGCAACATATCAAACAGGTCAGCCCCTTTGCAGATTACTTTTTGTATTCTCTTAGGATTCAAATAGTGAGCGAACCTCACTCTGTCAAAATGGCTGTAAGCTTTCATCTTGAATATAAACTCACTAATATGGCGGAAACAAAAGCTGCAATGCCACCCTGAATCTGCCAAGATTTCATCTGATTGGCGGTAATGTGCATACCTTGTCTTGCCAGATTGATATCTGTGGACTGAAGCTCTCCAGCTATTATTATCCACAAGAAACTCAAATGAATACAGATAATTTTTTAGCCGAAGATGAAGGATAGGAGGTATTTCATCACACCATCTCAAAAGATTGATAGTGTGCCTGCTTGGTATCTCATCAATGTCTGACATTATCAACAAGTCATCATCTTGAATTCCTGCTTGTTTGAGAAGATAGTCCAAAGCCAGTCGCTGATATGCCTCCTCAATAAATGGGTTTTCTCCTTTCCTGAACCTCCCAGGAATTTTCCCATATGTCAATCGCGAGTCAATAAATTTAAACTGATCTCGATGGCTGGCAAATACCAGAGGCTTTGGCAATCCAGTAAACGTTGAATTTGACTCAAGGAGAACAAACTCTGTTACATAGGGGTACAATTCTTTCCACCGTAAGGTAAGGATTTCCACCTCGTTACTGAACAACACTGCATCAAAGACACGCCTTGGGCTCTCACGGATTCCCCATCCATGAAGCTTGCAGAGATTCTCCATTGACACATTTTCGTGATAATAGTGTGGGATTTCATGAAAGGGTTTAGGTGGCGATTCCCACAATGGCCGCAAGAAGTACGAAATCTTCTGTCCGTGCAAGTATATACCAAGGACACATGTCGGCACTAGAACGAAAAAAAAGATATACATTTTAAAATCCATTCCACGCAGAATACATCGTAATCTTGACATGCTCAAAGATCGTCCTGACTCCTGCAGATATACATAAGAATCATATGAGAGATTTTCCTTTCATACTCAAGAAAAATACTAGTAATTAGCAGGGAAAAACTTATCAAGGAAGGAAATAAAAAGCACCAGCCTTAACAAGACATATCGTAACCCCAGAATACAAACCACATAAGACAATTTGAAAAGCTAATTGAAAAAGTAAAATCAAAACTATAAGCTCTCCATTATCTATTACTATCATTAAAATTCTAAAGCTTTACTACACACAAGATAAATCAAAACTAGAAGACTTTAAGGTCACAAGAATCTTCTGTCTCCTTCAAAACTTCAAGGATTTACAAACTAAAATGTTGAACATGAATATTCAAAGTGTGTCTCTTCACCAAAAGATGGTAGGCATAAAAATATTGGAGTAATAAACTTCATAAAAATAAAGGTACATATAGAGATATACATGTTTATCTATAATACCCATTAAATTGGCAATTCTGGAGCTCACATGAACAAATGACCTGTTGCTAACAAGTACATGAGCCTGGAGTCCTGACCTTGGCGCTTGCAAGGTTCAATTCAGCCCCCATGCTGCAGCACCCAGATTAAAAGGAGACCTAGCTTGGTCATAGAATACACTCGAGACATCCCCAATTTATTTGATAGACTCGAAAATAGAGTAAATAGGAAAAACTTAAAAAGAGACGATTTTTATCTTATACAAACACCAAAAAAGAAAATTTCCATGTATTTTCTCATGAACCAAACACAGCATATATTACCCAAAAAGACAAAACAACAGAACCAAGAGTAAATCCCAACAATTGCATCAAACACCCAGAAAAATACATTATGGAAATCAAATAGTTACATCAATTTCGAAACTCAGATATACAAAACTATAAAAATCCAAAAAATTAAAAATTAAAAAAAAAAAAGGAAAAGGAAAAGGAAAAAGAGAAGTAAAAGAAAATCGAAAATATTTACCTCATCGCAAGCATTGCCGCATATATCATCCGTCTTCTTCGAACAGTAACGAGATCCCCCTTCCGCCATCATTGTATAAACTTTCTCCCCAAATCGCGTTATACTCCACATCTCTCTCTCTCTCTCTCTCTCTCTCTCTCTCTCTCTAACCCTTTTTCTAAATATAGTTATAGATGTATATACCTAAAAATATCACCCAATTTCAACTCCTAATCCACAGATCAACACAAACTCGACCAAAAAAACCTCCTATAATCAACCCACAAATCGATCAGACAAAATGGAGATCTTTCTCCGATTCTCTCTCTTCAAGTATTTCTAATCCACAAAAATCACCTGGTCCAGACACAGCCCTAGATTTCTTCCACCCAAAATCACTTGGCTAACCCAAAATCAAACACTAGGAGTACAATCTCAAATTAAAAAAAAAAAACAAATGAATAAATTGAATGAATGGAATAAATTGAAGAGACCCAAAAGAAAAAAACCAAAGAATGATTAGTAGGGATGAGAGAGAGGTTGGAAAAAGCTGGTATTGTGTGATGTGTTGGAGCCTCTTTGTAGAATGGGTGGCAGTTGTAAAGATTACTAGGAAGCCGTTTCTCTTGTCTTCTACCCTACTTTTCGCAACCCCCCTTCTCACCCATTTATATTTCCAAACGTTAGGAATTATTCTTTTTCCCATTGACGAAATTGACCTTCCTTAAGCTCGTTGCTAGGGCTGAGGGGTGGGTAGTTTTGGAATTTCAGCTTTGATTAGGGTCCCTTACGCGTCCATTGACTGGCTCAAGACAACTGTTTGTGTCGTGTGTGTCTTGATTTGTTCAAAAAAATTTATTAAATAAATTTAATTTGTAGTTAACATAAAAAGGAGTTATAATAGGGGAATTCCATTTTTTATTTTTAAAAATTAAGACCATATTTAAAAAATTTTGTACTTTAAAAAATTATTTTTTTTATATAACACTTGTAATGTAATAAAAGTGCTACAATGTTGTCTTACTGTTAAAATTTGTTGATTATTTTGTCAATTTCAATGAAGTAGATTTTGATATAATTAACAATGAAAGTTAACAATAAAATCACGATACAATAATTTTAATTAGGAATGGTATTGGTTCGGGGCGGGGGGTGGGGGGAGTAGTCTCTACCTCGTATCCGTTTCAAAAATATTTTTTTGTCTACTCCCGCTCCACCTCCTATTAGCTTGAGAAATTTTAATCTCCATCTCAGCTTCGCTAGTAAATTTTGATCCCCATTTCAACCCATAACAATTAATTTCTATGATTTTAAGAAATTTTTTTTAAAAAACTCATGAAACCTCACAAATGAATTTGCAAAAAGATAAATATTCATTATATAATAAATTGATCAAACATAAAAACTTACATCCCTTGGATCAGGAAAAGACGGCGTTTATCACTTCAAATGGAGTTTACTGTTACAAAGTGATGCCATTTGGGCTAAAGAATGCCGGGGTAACATACCAAAGACTGATGAATCGGATGTTCAAAAAGCAGATCGACAACACCATGGAGGTCTACATTGACGATATGCTGGTGAAGAACAAACGAAGCTGTGACCACCTGGTAGATTTGACAGATATCTTCTCCACCCTTAGAGAGTATGGGTTGAAGCTGAACGCGACAAAGTGCATTTTCGGAGTAGAGTCGAGTAAATTTCTCGGATATCTGGTGAGTCAGCGAGGAATCGAAACTAACCCGGATCAGATTCAAGCGATCCTAGGCATCTGGAGCCCCCGAACTGTCTGAGAAGTCCAAAAGCTCACAGGGATACTGGCAGCACTTAACCGTTTCGTCTCATGCTCCTCAGACAAATGCAAACCCTTTTTTGGAGTCATCAAGAGGGCTGGAAAGGATATGTGGAGCCAGGGGTGTGAAGACGCCCTGGCTGGAATCAAGGAATATCTCAAGACTCTCCCGACCCTATCCGTCCCTATTCAGGGGAAAATACTCTTCTTGTACTTTATCTGTATCAGAATTTGCCGTCAGCAGGGTACTTATTCGTGAGCATGAGCACCGCCAAAAACCGATTTATTACATAAGCAAGGCGCTCCTGGACGCAGAGACAAGATACCTGCCCCTAGAGAAATTGACTCTATCCCTAGTCACAACTGCAAGAAAACTAAGGCATTATTTCCAGGCGCACCCAATCACCGTCCTTACCGATCAGCCCTTAAAGGCCATTTTGAGGAAGGCAGACCTCTCTGGAAGGATTTTCAAGTGGGCAGTGGAGCTAGGGGAACACGACATTAATTTCAAACCTCGAACCGCTATAAAAGATCAGGTGTTGGCGGACTTCATAGCTGAGTTTTCAGGGGAACATCCCGTTCCAGAAAGATCGCCTCCTCTCGGCATAGCATTCCCAACGAATTGTGAAGGATCACCATGGCTTTTATGTGTGGACGGTTCGTCGAACAGTAAGGGATCCGAGATCGATATCTTGCTAGTCTCTCCAGATGGGATGGTTGCGGAGCAGGTCGTTCGACTGGGATTCAAAGCATCCAATAATGAAGCTGAGTATGAGGCTCTCATCTCAGGACTTTGGTTAGCTGAGGCAACTGGGGTTACGAACTTGATCGTACATTGCGATTCCATGCTGGTAGTCAACCAAGTTAACGGAGAGTTTGAGACAAGGGACCCTAGGATGAAGGCTTACCATCACAAGACGACGACTGTAATCCGTAAATTCAAAAAGATCAAGATCAAACAAGTGTCCCGAGACAAGAACGCGCATGTTGACGCCCTGGCTTGCCTAGCCTCGGCATTGGAATCCTGTCAATCGTGCAGAGTCACCATAGAATACCTTCCCACCTCCTGTATAGACCAAGTCTCGAGGCAATGGCCATTCAGGACACACACAAGCCGCTCAGCTGGATTGATCCCTTTCTCAGGTTCCTAATAACAGGAGACCTCCCGGAGTGTTCAAAGAAAGCCAGGAAGATAAAACTTAAAGCCCCGAGGTTTTGGGTCTCTCCGGATCAGATCTATATCGGAGGTCTTTCTCAAGACCTTACCTACTATGCGTCCAGGAGGATCAAGTGGAGGACCTCCTTTATGAGGTACACGAAGGAATATGCGGGGGGCACTCTGGGGGGCGATCCATGGCACAACGCATCATGTCTCAAGGATATTGGTGGCCACGGATGCAAAGGAACGCACACGTATATGTCCAAAAATGCGACCAATGTCAGAAGTTCTCCCCAGCAATCAGGCAACCCGTGGGAGACTTGCACCCCTTGACCAGCCCTTGGTTATTCGTCCAGTGGGGACTCGACCTAGTTGGACCCCCTGCCTAAGGCTCTTGGAAACAGGAAGTTCCTGATCGTGGCCACAGATTATTTCACCAAGTGGGTTGAGGCGGAGCCATTGAATCACATCCGTGACATAGATGCTAAAAAGTTCATATGAGAAAACATAATCATCAGATTTGGGATTCCTCGAGCATTTGTATTAGATAACGGGACCCAATTTACTGGGGGCGTTTCAAGTCTTTTTGTGAGCAACTCGAGATCCGTAATCTCTATTCCACCCCTGCCTACCCCCAAGCCAATGGGTAGACAGAAGCCTTCAGAAAAAAAATTATCAATGGGATCAAGAAGAGATTGAAGAAAGCCAAGAAAAAATGGGCGGATGAGCTGTTGAACATTTTATAGGCGTATAGGACCACCCATCGGTCCTCGACAGGAGAAACCCCTTACTCCCTGTCTTATGGAATGGAAGAAATCATACCTCTAGAAGTAGGGCTCCCGACCATAAAGACGCAAGCTTTCGACGCAGGGGGAAATGATTGTCAATTTGGACTGGATTTGGATCTAGCGGAAGAAAGAAGAGAGATAGCCTCCTTGAGAGTAACCAAGTATTAGGAAAAGATTTTCCAACTTCATAACAAAAGGGTCAAGGCGCAAAAATTTCAAATCGACGATCTGGTCCTCAGAAGGATAACGGCCAATACCCGTGACCCAGCAGAAGGAAAAATGAGACCTAACTGGGAAGGGCCCTACAAAATGATATCTATCGGAGGCTCTGGATCATATAAATTAGAAGATATGGAAGGGAAACTTGTAATGCAACCTTGGAATGTGATGAATCTAAAGAAATACTATTTTTGAAGTGTTATTTCCTTCAGTGTTCGCCAATGGTTAAGTTACAAGGGTAAGGCCCTGGGAACAGAGTTCAAAGACTTCTGCCCCCGAAGAAAAAATAGGAGCAAGCCTGCTGGAAGGGTAAGGCCCTGGGGAGAGAGTTCAATGACTCCTGCCCCCGAAGAAAAAATAGGAGCAAGCCTGCTGGAAGGGTAAGGTCTTGGGGACAGAGTTCAAGGACTCCTGCCCCCGAAGAAAAAACAAGAGCAAGCCTCCTGGACAGGTAAGGCCCTGGGGACAGAGTTCAAGGACTCCTGCCTCCGAATAAAAGGAAGGAACAAACTTCCACAAGGAGTGAGACACTGCGGATGCGTACGAGTCTTAGCAATGATGAAACTGAACCAATCGGGTAAGCAAGCCAAATTGTTCCCCAGGTGTCGGAGCTATTAAAAAGAGAGAGAGAGAGAAAGAGAAAGAGAGAGAGAATGCAAGCAAGAAAATGTAAGTACTCAAAAAAAAAAGCTTCATTTAAAAAGAGGGGCTTTACGTCCCCAAGAGCTACAAGAGTAAAAGAAGAAAAAGTACAATTCAAAAGAAAAAGAGCCTTCATCTGGGCCCCGGCATCTCCAAACGTCGTTGGAGGGCGAATCAATGCAGAAAGGTTGAACAGCTTCGGGGGCAGGTGGGGATAGGACCGGATCAACGACAGCAGGAGTCTCAGGAATATTGTGGTCAAGTGCCAAGCCCCGACAAGGCCTCCTCTGATGGGACTAGAATCACCACCTCGGGAGGGTCTACCAAAACTTGTATCAGCGTTGGAGTCGCACCCTCGACAGCAATCTCGGCCTCGGCCTGTTCCATCTCAGCCGATTGCACATAGTTGTGCATCTGGAAGAGCGGGGAGTCTGGAGGGACCCCAACAGATCGGAGCGCCTCGTCCCATCCTTTCTTGAAGAACTCTCTGCTATTTTCCTCAAGAACAGACAGTACGTCATCGACGAATTCC